TACAGTCGCTAGTCACTCTAGAGGGTTGATAAAGGCACATTTGTGAGGGGTGAAGTCTGGGTTCACCCTGTTTGTTGCATTTTGAATGGCAAGACAATTTTGGACAATGGAAAAAAATGGGTCATGGGGTAACGTTTTCCCATGCAGCCCACCCCCCCCCCCCCCCTACTACTTGGTCCGGCTCGTCGCAATTGTCGCTTATCTAACGCCACTAAGAACAGGGGATTTTTTACCATTCTATGAAATTTCCAATAGGCATAGTGAGGAAGCATGATACATGAATATTCTCCGCCACAAGAAAAAAATTTCAGCAATGGAATCTGGTGAAGCGAGTCGAAGAAAGGAAGAAAAGTAAGCAAAATGCACGAAATAAATCAGCGAAGGAGCGCGTTCTTGCACTCAAACTCTTTCAGGTCCAGAGTTCATTCAACTCTCCATCACTCGAGCTGCCGCGACGTTACATGAGCTGACATTTGCTGGTGTCTAGCTGCTGGCGTAGACTGGTACAGCATCTCTTGCTTTCTCAGCCTGTCGTATGGCAGCAATGGGAAAGGAACAGTTGTGGCTGTCACTTCGGTGCTTGGTGGAACCGTGGGCAGTGTGACCTGAGTGTCGCCACAGTGTGTTTCAACAAAGCATTCAAATGAGGAATACAGGCCTCTCCAGACAGCTGTCATACGCTCCGCTGGATACGCGGACCACGACTCTTGTAATGCTGCTGTTAGGTCCACCAAGCGAAGGAACAACCAACACGTCGGCCGGGCGCATCGCATCAAAAACACCTTTCTTCTTCAGCATGATGCTCATACTCCTCTGCCTTGCACGCGTGCCTGTCACGCTCTCCAGGATGTCAGTTGCCCCTAGTAGTACAATACCGGTGTTGTACTACTCCTTAGCCCTGTTTAGAGCATCACATCTTATACCGTACTACTTTTCGGTTCGGAACTGTCGTGCTATGCAGCCTTTGCTCTTCGGCAGCTACTACAATGTACTTGTAGCTGCGGAGCGATCTCGGAGAGTTCGCGATACACATTCCCCGTACATACAAGGAGCAGTGAGCACGCGTGATGGCAAATATTGTAGACTGTGAAAATGTTCAAGCATGAAGTGGAAGCTTCAACAACAAGTTTCATTCCCCTGGTTCTCAATCTATTGTTCTTCCTCTCATTTGACTTAGAAAATCTCAGATTTTGCGCTCCATACATAATTATAGCTCGACTTGCCAGGGGTTCAATGGCTGATAACCCCCGGCCCAGGGGATTATTCTTCATAATCCCCTAGGTAAGGGGAAAGAGCCCAAGACTTTGGACTGCTCTCACTATACCTAGCGAGAGTAGGCCAAAGCAAGGTAGCAAAACAAACCCCAAAGAGCCAGCCTGGAAGCTGCTGTGTGAAATCTCAATCAAAAGACTTTATCATAGGAAGGTAATTGAACAAGTGGACATAATATTTACAAAACTCTCACATGAGCACCGTGAATATGTTTTTTTGTATTAGATGAACATAGATGTGACATGTGAACGTGCAATTACAGCTGCTCAGCCTCTTGAATAATTTTCAACAAAGTACAGTCATGTATGTCTGCAACGTCAACGACAACGTTGCCATGGGAACTGAACAACAAATGAAAGCAAGTACACTGTATTGTATCTTCAGGTTTTTACCGTACCGTTTCTATGGTTGTAGCCAATGAGCGACGTTCCCGCGGTGGCCTTGATGAGCCGATAAAGCCCGCGGTTTTTTGACAAAAAAAGGTGTTGCAAAGTCAAAAAAAATAAAAAATAAATAAAGCCCGTGGTCAATGGATACGGAAAAATGCGGTAGCAATGAAGCCCGTCGTCAATGGCACCCCGTACTCTGTCAGCCTAGCTCTGCAAGGGTCTGTGGCAGTTTTTCGTTGTCAGCTCAGTTCACATCTCACATTCGACTGTGAACATGCTCTGGTACCTGGAAACAGCCTGTCCAAAAACGGCAACATGAAAAGTGTCTACACATCGTGGTCAGTTTTCAACTCAAGTTCTTGTTGTCGTGAGTGGAGACGAAATTTCACGATAGTTGTGAATAAGCGAAAGAGCATGCACCTATCTATCTGCTAAGAAGCAAGCTGCAATAAGTGGCACACATCGCGATCAGCTTTCCACTTTCTGTTCTACATGTACTAAAAAAAAGAGTTGACGAACTTTTCTGATAATTTTGGGGAAGCGAAAGATCATGGACCAAGGGGTCATCCCATCCATGAGAAGCGGACGGAGCTGAAACTCACAAGCTGAAGGAGCTGAAACTCAGAAGCTGAATCCACCACGTCCTCGACCACCACCCCTATACGTGTCTTGCTTTTATACCAGAAAGGCGAAAGACAAAACCTGAAACACCATCATAGAGGTCTGGCAGGACTTTTCGCCTGCATCAAGGCCTCGTGCGTACGGCCGCGCCTTGGCCTGCGCCCTTGGACGTATGCAATCGGCCTTGATTCAGCCGTAAAGTCCTGCCAGACCTCTATGATTGTCTACGTAAATAATTTAATAGGTTTACTATGGAACCTAAACAAGAGAAATGTTGTTCTTTGTATTTGAATTCGCAAGAAATCCAACACGCACGCATCTCGATCTCAACAACAATGTTGCCATGGAAACTGAACACTGGTCATACTGCCCATCAGGCATCACCCCCGGCCTCCCTATAGCCCTCCCTCCCCCTCAAAAATTAATTGGCTGAGAAAATTCAAAGAGAAAAACGCACAGATCAGGACTTACAAGAGTACACAACATGTGGGGCCTGAACTCCCACCAGAACAAGAAGGAATGGCTGAGGCAATGTAAAGAGAAAAAAAGATCAGGTATTGTTTTTTTCATTTGTCAAATTGTGTTTTGTTCCTGTGTCATGTTTCCTTGCCTTGCAAGCTTACCTTTCCTTTTTTGTTGAGCTTGAAAAAGTACGTACTGAGTACTGTACTCCCTGCTTACCACTGAAAAAAGTGTGAAAGCCAACAACTGTGTACGTGATGGCTGCGCAGACCCGTACCCCTGACAAGTCGAGCTATACCGGTATACCGATAGTGCACGGATTGGTCCTCCGAAGAATATTTTTCATAATCCCCGCGGCGCTGCGCGCCTTGGGGATTATGAAAAATATTCTCCTAGGATCCGTGCACTATCCTATACATATTTTCATTATTTTACTGGTTTGGTGAGACTCCCATGATAGGTATCCATTTACCTCTGGAGAATCCGTAAACAAACAACAACAAGAGTCCATGAACCAGGGAGTAGAACAATACCGCAAAAGTGTACTACTCCCTGTACTACCAGGTACTCCCTGCCATAAACAAGAGTATGCATCTGTGATCTTTTTCTCGCACAGCGATAAGCCACACTCGCTACACACCAAACAACAGCACATTTGTATTGGGGTTAGGAGGGCCAGAAGTGGCTAACCCCAAGTGGCTAATCTGACAAGTACAAAAAGCAGGGAGGGAGGGTGGGTACCTCAAGACGACTGGCCAGTCGTGCTCATGCGCAGCGGTTAAGAGAACATGTGAAGATGTACGAGTAAAAAGAAATTGATCAGATGACTGCTCACTTGTGAGAAAAAAACACGAGAAAAAACCGCTGTGACGAGAAAATACTTCTCGCCTCTGTCGCTGCGCTCTGCCGTCGAGAAGATACCATTTTCTATGGGCCAGATGCGCGGCGCATCAAGGGTTTTTTGAATACAGAAAAAAGCTCGAAACTTCGAAAACTTGGACGCGGCAGTGATTTGCGAAAGTACGGTAACTCCTCCCCCTCCCTGCCTAGTTTTTTAATAGGGAGGTTCTGCTCTACGTTTTGGGAACGCGACGCAAAGAATCACGCGAACTTTCTTCGCGTTCCCGTAACGTAAAGAATTTTTTTTTTCGTGGTTCCAAGCCTCTTGTACGGGCAAAATAAACACAAGTGCAAGGTCAACAGCTTAGTACCGAGAGAAAATGAGCTGAAATGGCTGTGAAAACAGTCTTATACGGAGGAAGCTACAATGGCTGTGAAAACAGTCCAATAACAGTCCAATGCTCTGCTGCTCCACCTGCGCATGCCATTGTAGCTTCCTCCGTATAAGACTGTTATCACACCCCCCTCACGTGACCGCGGACTCCTGCATATACACTCACACAATAACCACACAACTGTTTGGGGATAGCGCGCTTATTGTATTATGCCAAACTTGACACGCTGAGTCCAGCTTGACTCAGCTGAGTCCCTAACTGCAATTTACTGCTCTAACATGAAGCCGTGCCTGGAAGAAGGGAAAGAGCGAAAAAAGAAAAAGAAAAATTCTGGCCTTCTGCAAGCAATAGCAAGTAATGAGTGACGGCTGTGTAAAGTCGCACAACCATGCAGTCGACCGGATGATGGTGAGTGTCCGGCACACATCTTGCTCTGCTGCTCCACCTGCGCATACCTGATACGGTGGTGCGCTTACGGGCGGGCTGCCTGGGCCCCAGATATGCCTCCTTGATGCGCCACGGAGTGCCGTCGAAGCACCTGTATCACTTCGGTGATCCAAATGCGAATGCAGCCTTGCCGGTCGCCCGCCGGCCTGCCGCCTACGCGACCAGCCTGAGACTGGCCCTGCCGCATTTGGCGCTTCTAAACGCTGCGATCCGGTAGACAGCTCACTGGGCTGCCAAACACGTGACTGGCTTGAGGACAGTTCCATACTGGGCAGGGCGCCCAGCTCAGGTCGCACGCCGTAGCGGCGTGAGCTGGGCGCGGTGAGGGTTGGTGATAACTACAGTTTCCTCCTTCCTCCTCCGCAAACTTCCATTTTTCACAGCCATTTCAGCTCATTTTCTCTCGGTACTAAGCAGGGAGTCGTAAAATACCGGGAGGCGACACGAGATGCACAACCGCGTCGGATGATTGCCTCAGCTCGGGCACGAGTGCTGAGACCTCACGCGCTGCATGGCGAGGGACTTCCCATGAGGTCAAAGCGGCGCAGGTCATGCCAAAGGACGCGTTCGCTGTTTGGTCCAAAAAATTTGAAAACTCAATAAAATTATCCTGCACACAACGAATCCAGTGTCAGCAGTTCGTTTTGTTTTTCTAAGTAATAATACTTTGTGCCTTGGCCTTCGAAGTAAAGGATGATGGAGCTTGACAGAGATGACTGCCAAAGTGATGAGTCCACCGTGGAAGATGTAGATGACGCCACGTATTCACTTGGTGACCTGAGTTGTGGGGATGTTCAGCTGTGGGCTACAGGTGAGATTCTTTCGTTTGCATGTTTTTGTCTCTTCCTTGTGGACACGAATGTATAATCTGTAGCATACCTAAGTGCCCGAACTGACCCGATAAATTAGGTGGTCGACACCATCCTTTCATCCTAGTCTGCCCACGATGCATTGTCTGTTCACTGTGACAGGATATTTATTGAAGTCCTGAAAATTTACGTGTGTACCTAGTATGTATCATTACCGTAGATGATGTAAACCTCCATCCTCAAACCATACTTTGTCTATGTGCAGATCGATGTAAGAGTGGTAGTGCCATCATGGTGTACAGGCCTATGGAAGGTGCAGTGATCCATGGAATTTGCAAACTGCTGACAATGAGACAGGCGAGTGTTACTGAGGCGACGGAGTCATTCCTGCATGTTATTATGACACGGTTACACAAGGCATCAGGTACTGCAAATCTGCTACGCCAGGAAGTGTGCCAGCTGAAGGCATGCAAGGGTGCTGATATTTCGCAAGCATGGCAACAAATGCTGTCCGTCATCGCAACAGCTATTCCCGAAGTGAAAATCAATTGTGAAGGTCAGTGCGTTTTGCATGCATGTTGGAAAAAATTGGCTTCTGACTAGGTATGCAGACTAGGTATGCAAACGCTGGCTTTTGAATACTAGTACAGTCTCTGCAACCACCAGTCCTTATATGTTGTCTTTTTCTTTTCTCTTCTTCAGATTTGGAAGTTACATCTGCTGTGCTAGCGAATCTGATAAGCTACCTGCATGCCACGGCTGCCGCGGCTATCAGGAAAGCGTCAATAGCACCATCCAAAGCTGCTGAAGCCACCCCCGAACCGGTGATTGACAATTTGTCTCACCTTGCTGAAAAGTACCATGGTGGTTGGTGCTTGGTGGCCGTGCGGCGTGAGCTGGAAGGAGCAAGGTGTCGCAACGACAACTTGCTGCAGCTTATACCTTTATTTGGCAAGGATGCCGTGACAAGCCTTCAGCCTTGTTTGGAGAATTCAGGTGGCCCGGCGTGGCTCGGAAGCTCTGTATAAGACACCATACGTCACAGATAAAAACAACTGAACCAGTGATATGTGAATTTTGCGCTTGTGTGTGTGTGTGTGTGTGTGTGTGTGTGTGTGTGTGTGTGTGTGTGTGTGTGTGCGTGTGTGTGTGTGTGCTTCTGTGATAAGTGGTATAAGCAGTCCACAGGGTATTCACCTTGAGTGCATTCGCCGATAGTGTGACTTTCGTCGCACAGAACCTTCTTCAGTTGGTCAGGTGACTCGGCGTGGCTCGGAAGCTCTGTATAAGACAAAATACGACACAGATAAAAACAACTGAACCAGTGATATGTGAATTTTGCGCTTGTGTGTGCACGAGCATGCATGTGTGTGTGTGTGTGGTGTGTGTGTGTGTGTGTGTGTGTGTGTGTGTGTGTGTATGTGTGCTTGTGTGTATGCTACTGTGATAAGCGGTACAAGCAGTATACAGGATATTGACGGGTATTCACCTTGAGTGCATTCGCCGATAGTGTGACTTTCGTCGCAGAGAACTTTGCTCAGTCGGTGAGGCGACTCGGCCTTACGTTTCCTGAAGGCAATGTGTTCAGAACAGTTATGAACAGCTATGAACAGTTAAGAAATGACTAATATTGTTTGCAGTTCATGGGCCATATAGATGTGAAACACTTTGAATGCAGAAGAATGAGGATAGTGGCATCAAATACTGCATGGATTCTGTTTGATATGCTACTTTTTTTCCCTTCCATGGAAAGGTGAGTACATCGTCGAACTTCATCTCGAAACTTCACACAAACCTAGAATGGAACTTGGACAACATGAAGGGGCCATGGGCATGGTGTGTTTAGTGGAGAACTATTCCGAAAACAGGGTGTCATTCGCATTGACTCAATTCAAATTTGAGTACATTTCGTGAATAACTTACCTTGACATTCCGTCGTCTCCAAAGCAGTGAACTTCCAAAAAAAATTAAAAGCCACGGCTCAACCTAAGGTAATGCGTGGTACGTATCAGAAACAACCAGCTTTCGCTCTGGAGATCCAGAATAGCCTCGAAGCATATAGCAAAAACAATTGAGAAAAAGAAGATGACGACGACGTTTCAATCACGCTTCAAATTTCGCGGGTCGAGTGCGGCAATCCTCGGATCGTGAAATGTGTGGCGTGTCGCCTCCCGGTATTTTACGACTCCCTGGTACTAAGCTGTTGATCTTGCACTTGTGTTTATTTTGCCCGTACAAGAGGCTTGGATAATAAAAAAAACTTCTCCTACCGTAGACGGGCGTAGACGGGGATGCAAGCGTACAAAACAGCTGATGAGTGTGAACAGGAGACGGCGTCGTACGACACCGACGATCGTGCGCCGACTACTTCCTATTCGTACTTGGACCTTTTTTTAGCATTTCGAACACCGCGCTTTCCATGATAACTCGCAGAATGGCTGACACGACTTGAGTTGAATTTTAGCAAGATTATTATTATTTGAAACTCGGGTATTGAGCCAATAATAAAAGGAGAAAGGGAAAAGGACATATGGAAACGAGTTAAGAGTAACTCTCCACCACTGTAACTAGATACTATATACAGTCAGAAAGTGCAACAACTAGGCACAAAACTGACAGAGTACTGAGACATTCGACGTCCTGACACCTAGCTTCAACACATCTCCGTAGCGCTAACCGACAGCCTTCCAACTGTAGTTAGACCACTTTGTCAAATCGCCTACTGGTCTCGTCATCGTCCAGTGACAATCGACATTCTTTGTTCCGTTGGGACTGTAGCTTGTGCTCGTTTTCGTTGCGCTTGCCTTCCCCTCTTTGGTCTTTCCATAACCTCGAACCTTCCAAGTTGGAAGGCTGTCGGTTAGCGCTACGGAGATGTGTTGAAGCTAGGTGTCAGGACGTCGAATGTCTCAGTACTCTGTCAGTTTTGTGCCTAGTTGTTGCACTTTCTGACTGTATATAGTATCTAGTTACAGTGGTGGAGAGTTACTCTTAACTCGTTTCCATATGTCCTTTTCCCTTTCTCCTATTATTATTATTATTATTATTATTATTTTATTTATTTTACTAGGGTGTTTTCCACAGACCTATGGTCTTCTTACGGGAGCCCCTAGAAAGGTTAAGCATGAACGAACAAATGGGCGATAATCTGTACAAGAGCGAACAGATAAGGTCTGATGTCACATAATGGTATTTAGGGATAGCCCAGGAGCGTGACATACGAACTGTTATCATTTCCTGGAGCTTGAATGGCACACCTTTCGAAGCTACTTTTTGGTCTTCATGAAAACCTGGTACAGGCCCTCCCTCATTATAACGAGTCTGGTTAGTACATAAACCCCGTTAGTAAATAGAAATCTGAAATCCCCTGGCGAAACGTGATCTGTACAACTGTTTACAGGTCCGGTTACAACATACTCTGTTAGTTCCTAAAATTCGTTATTACGACCCTTTGGCCAGGTCCCTGGAGTGCCAAACCGTAGTAAATAATATTTACGTATTCGTGAATATGGACGATCCTTTGCATTCAAGGAAGAGTTATGTTGGAGTTTTTCAATTATCTTATAACGAGTTGAAGCATCAATAATTTATGTTGTATCGAGGGTTATTTATTATTATTATTATTATTATTAAAAAATTGGTTGTGAGCAACACTGGCTCGCACTCAAATCACTGCCTTTCACCAGAAAATATTATATTTCAACGTTTCGGTCATGAAATAACCATCATCAGGAATGAAGTGGGCACACCGGTTAATAATAATAAATGTTGGGTTAGCTTTTGGGCTAACCCTAGTTAGCGATAAGACCGATGCGCTGCTCTCTATCTCATGCTAGCTGCGATCGAGCTGGCTTTACACGTGCACTCAACTGCTGCGCATGCGCGCCCAAATCGCCTTGGGTAGCTCTTGCTGCGCTGACTTTGGCTTGCGCTTTCCTTTGCAGTGTCACTGAGCAGCAACCGGAATTTGTTTGTTGAGAATAGAATTAATTATTCAGACTCCTTGTAGATTCCTCGCAGCCGCTTACTGCACGACAAACATGTTGTCTACCTCTGAAGCACGCCGTATGAACGTGTCGGACTTGCGGGCCGAGCTGGAAGGCCGTGGGCTGAATTCGAGCGGAACAAAGCCCCAGCTTCTTGCCCGTTTGCTGCTCAGTATCCAGGACACGTCGAGCTCGGCGGCACGGGAACCTCGATCTCCGTCGGCCACGCCATCCTCGCGGCAGGAGCACGAGCAGGAGCAAGAGCAGGATCTGGAGAGTGCTGCAGCAGCTTCTCCGACTCCCCAGATCCCGGACCGGAGCAGTAATGACGATTTGCGCCAGTTTGTGCGGCAGGAAGTACATTCCGCCGTCACTGTTGCCTTGTCGGAGGCGATCGCTCCAATGCTGGCCACCATCACTGCCCCTGGATCCGCTGGAACTCAACCTTCGGCGGAGTCTTCCAACGCTGGTAATCTCTCCGTTCCCCAGACTATACGAGAGAAAATATTGAAGGGTGACTTTGTAGATTTCACCCAGCTGCTGCCCGATACTATCGCCACCTCGTATTCTGCCCCACGCCAGCTTCAGCTGCAGTTCAGCAGTGGCGGCCAGTCTCTGGAGGTGGTGGAAGGTGGAGCGGCGCAGCCCGTTCGTCGACGCGTCCACGACTTGCCGACATGGCTGGAGGCATGGACTCTCTTCATGAACGTCGTGTGTTCTGCCAACCCGTCCCGCCTGCAGGAGATGCTCTCCTACCAAGCCACCATAGTTGCAGCCAACAGGCAATACTATCCGGAGGCTTGGCTGTCGTACAACACCCAGTTTCGCTCTGCCATTTCTGCTCAGCCAGGCAAGCGCTTTGACGTCATCGACATAAATCTGTGGCAAATGTCCGTGACTAGCCGATCAAGGCCCACATGTGAGTCCTGCCGCCTCATCCATCCTGGAGGCGGCCAGTGTCCCTTTCGTCCGCAACGTAACAACCAGCAAGCCTTCAATGGAGTCCGTACGGTGTCTAATGGCCAACCGATCTGCCGGAACTTCAACGCTGGGCGTTGCAGTCTCAGCACGTGCAAGTACGCCCATGTCTGCAACCGCTGCGGGTCCAAGGACCACAACGGATCTAAGTGCGGTAGGCGCCAGTATCTCTGCTGCTTTGGCTGCAGCTCCCGCGATTGTACATATTTCTCCCTGCACTTCACGTTCTACTGACTTCACAAGCGCATGTCCTACTGTCCACACACCCCTCTCTGTTTCTCGCTTCGAATCACTGCTCCGTAACCACCCTGACAGTTCATTGGCTTCGTATGTTATTAACGGACTCCGCTGCGGCTTTGACATTGGCTTTACCGGCAACCGCATAACTAACCAGCACTCGGCCAACCTCTCATCAGCATTCCAGCACTCTGCATTTGTGTCTGCACAGCTGACCGCTTCCTGCAACGCCGGCTACACGGCTGGCCCATTTGACTCGCCCCCATTCCCATTTATGTACTGCTCTGGCATTGGCGCTGTTCCGAAAAAGAATGGCAAGCTACGCTTGATACACCACCTGTCCAGCCCTGCCGGCTCCAGCGTTAACGACGGGATCCCTGCCGAGCCTTTCTCTTTGCAGTACATCAGCATTGATGAAGCCATTAACATAATTATGTCCTCCCCGTCTCCTGTCTATCTCTCTAAACTCGATGTGAAGAGTGCTTTTCGTCAAATACCTGTCCGCCCACAGGATTGGCATCTCCTCGGCATCCTGTGGCAGGGGAAGTACTACTACGACCGTGTCTTGCCATTTGGGCTCCGCTCTAGCCCGGCGGTATTTGATGCAGTGGCAGCCACCATCGAATGGATAATGCACCACGAATTCTCCATCCCTAATTTGCTGCATTTCCTGGACGACTACTTGTGCGTGAGCGTGGGCCAGGCAGTGGCGAATCGGTAGCTGGCCATTCTTCTCCGTGCATTCTCATACCTCGGAGTCCCGCTCGCGCCTGCAAAGGTGGAAGGCCCGTCTCGTACCCTGACATTCCTGGGCATTATCCTGGATTGTGAGAAGATGGAAGCCCGGCTCCCTGACGACAAATTGGCCGACATCAAGCGCCTGTTGACTGCAGCGAGCATCAACCCCACCATGTCTCAGCGCGAACTCGAATCTCTTCTGGGGAAACTCTCCTTCGCTGCAAGAGTCATCGTACCCGGCCGGACATTTATGCGGCGCCTGTGGTCTATTTGCAGTCGCTACCAGCAGCCTCACTACCGCATCAGTCTGACTACCGAGTGCCAGGAAGATATCCAATGGTGGCTACGGCTCCTGGAACAATGGAACGGAAAATCATTCTTCCTGTTCCCAGATTGGACACCATCTCCAGACTTGGAGCTGTTCACTGATGCCAGTGGCACCCTGGGCTGGGGCGCATTCAACAGCGGCCGCTGGCTTCAAGGGACCTGGTCGCCTGAGCAACTCACTCACAGCATTGAGTGGAAGGAGCTCTACGAGTTGGTCACAGCGTGCTGCACGTGGGCCAAGGAATGGCGCCAGCTTCGTATCACAATGCACTGCGACAACAAGGCTGTGGTAGATTGCATCCGCTCCGGCACATCCAAGTCACCGCCAGTGATGACCCTGATCAGGGAGCTGTTCTTTGTGTGCGCCCGCTTCAATTACACCGTCACTGCTGCTCACATTGCTGGCCAGTCTAACTGCATTGCCGATTCGCTGTCTCGTTTCCGCATGGCGGAATTCCGACGTCTCGCCCCAGCTGCTCAAGCACAACCAGACCGAGCAGTGCTGCCATTCCAGTCGATGTAATATAGCCTTGACATACAGGTACCGATTGTCATTGCTAAATTGCCGTATTGAGAACCTGCGTTGGATTTCATCCATCTGCATGCCTACCTTTATCCATCTCGTGCCTTAAATACTTGTTCTTAGCTCGTGCATTGGTGGTGAACGCTTGCTGGGGTGCCGTGTGCTGGTTTTCTGGGAACAGCTTCCTTCAACTGGTTGCTTTGCTGCTACTATCTCTGCTTAAAATTGCATACTATTGGTCGGCTGTTTGCGACGCCAATCAGTAGTCATTGCACCCGGTCGCGGGTACTATTGCCGCTCAAGCATGAGCGATTGCTTTGGCCGTTTGCAACGCCAACTGCTTCACCCTGGTTGGCTGTTTGCAACGTCGATCAGGGAAC